TTTGCAAAGGGCAGCTCATCCAGGGTTTAAGGATAGCTCTTAGATCCTAGTTCCTCCAACCACTCACTCCAGGACCCAGCTGCAGCTCCCTGCGTCCTTCCTATTGATGGGGACATGGTTGCAAGACCTGCTATCTAACTTGGAATGTCAGCTCAAACCTGAGCTCTTCCCCTTCTTCAGGCAACTCACAACAGCACTTGTAGATGTGGGTGACAAACCAGGGCTCAGGCCTCACGCCCAGCGATTCTGACTCTGCAGATCTGGGGCAAGGCCTGGGAATCTGCATTTATAGAGATCCCCAAGAGGCTTTGGTATGGTTGATGTACTGACAGTTACTTAGTAATTCTGGACTAGATACACCTTGGTGCCAATGATTCATGGTTCTTCTTTAAATAATTTCCAATTGGCTCACGAAGCATGATGCATCTAGAGTTAAGGCTCCTAATATGGAAGTACGAAAAGAACAGAAGTCTCTTCACTCATTCTGGATGCCATCTTTCACCAAGGATATTTTCAGTGGCCACGCCATACTGTTGACACAGACCAAGGTTATGAGGAATTGAATCATTAAATTTTTTTCCTTCATGCGGCAGCTACAGAGTCAGGCCTCCCCGGTCCCTGCAGAGTGCCTTCTGAATCAGCCAGTGCATTGTTCATTCCCTCCTTCACTGACTGCCCAACCTGTGCCAGACACTGTGATAACCACCAGGACAAAAAGATGAATGACACCATACCATTCTTCCAGGGGCTCACAGTTCAGTGGGAGAGGCAGATCAGCAAACCACCTGCAGTCAGTGCTCTGATGGCAATGGGGCCAAAGAGGAAGAGCCCACAGCCAACTACCCACATGCACTCACTACCCACCCCTACCCCATAGCCATTTATTAACTACCCCCACTCACACCCACTCACTACCCACTCCCTCCCCACCCCACTCACTATCCACCTCACCCCCATTCCAACCCATCACGACTCCACTCATACTTACTTCCCCCACTCCAACTCACTATCTACCCTACTCCCACTCTTACCCACCTCCACCCACACCCACTAACTATCTACCCCCACCCCCACTCACTCACTACCCACCCCCACTCCCATCCACTCACTACACACACCCACTCACTGCCTACTCCACATCTTTCACCCACATTGACAAATGACCCATTTTCTTCAACTTCAATTCTGTAGACAGGCTCCCATTCCTTGTTTCTCTTGGTTGGCCTTCTCACAATCCTTGTCAATCCCCTAGGCTTCCGTGATGTTCTAAAGCCCTTTGTGCTCACAGGACTCCCATCAATCCTTATTGGTCTGTTGACCTTTTTTGTTTTCTCAGCTGTTTATTCAAGTCTCCTCAAGTAACCATAAAACTTGTGTGTTTAGTATCCTTCATAAAACTTTTCTTTCCCAAAATCTAAGTGTTATCAGAGAGGCTGAAATGTGGTCATCACTGCATATCAACCATTGGAGGTCAAAACTGCTCACCAGAACACAAAGGGAATGGCAAGAAGAAAGGGCACAGCCAATGGAAGGTACACTGACAAAGACACTCAAGGCAGAGATGACAGCAGAGGGCTCATTGGCTGAGAGCTTTTGCAATATGCTATTCTTGAAGGCTAAGCCAGCAGAAAAGGATGTCATGAAAGCTCTCATTGGCTGAGGGCATAGAATCGCTCAGAGCACCATAAAAATCATATAGTAATCATATTCAACAAATCACGCGCTAAGAATGGCATTAAATGAGGTACGTGCATATGCATGTAGCCCATTCAGCAGGTGGTTCTCTAACTTGGATAAACAGGGATACGTCAGCATGTCATAGCCATACGACACTGGCCATTCAGCTCATTCCACTAACTCCTCTAGCTGTAATTCCGAACAACTTCTTTTTGTTATGTGCCTTCTAACGGTCATTTCTCCCTGATCAGTGAACACATTTATCATCTTAACTTTTTTTCCCATTAAACTATTAAACCAGCATTTTATGGCATAGACACAAGGCTTTTGGTTATCATGGGTCCTTCTCTAAAAAACTGACCTGGGTATATTACCAAAGGAGCTCTTCAACCAGCAAAAAACGACCACCACATGCCTCACTGTGCCACACTCAAGTCCTGGTCCCCATGAAGCCCTGTCTCAGCAACCGCTGGCCTTCCTGGTTAACACTGCTATCCTGATGTGCTCTGATCCAAAGCCAGCATGATCCTCAGCTCTTTACATATTATATCTGTCAGGAGAGGCTGGGTTATGCTGTAGCAACAAACAGTCCCCAGATTCCAGTGGCTTAAAACACCACTAGTTTATTTTCCTATCCACAACACATGTCAGTGTGAGTCAACTAGGGGCTCTGCTTCACTGCATCTTCAATCCAGGACCCAGGCTGAGGGAGCAGCCACCTTCTGGAACTTTCACTGTCACTGGAGCAGAGGAAAAGGAAAAACCTGGTGAGGCACCTGCTAACTCTTGAAGCTCCCATGCACATTTCTCTAGCCAAGCAAGGCACCTGGCCACACCTAATTTTAAGTGAGCAAGGAAATGCAATTCTACACATGCTCAGAAGGAGAGAGAATTAGAATCTTTACAAACAGAATTAATAACCACCACACATATATTGCTTATTACCTCTTGGAGCAATCAGTTCTTAGTCAACAACTTTAACTAGTTTAAAGGTTTTCTTACAATGAGCCAAAATCTGCCTGTGCCAGGACGTGCTCTAGGCACTGCAGATATAGCAACAAATAAATCCAAGTCCCTGCCCTGCTAAGACTACACCATAGTGGATCCATCCATCAGACTTTGCTCAGTCACAATACCTTTCCTCCCCCATCATTCCTCATTCATTCGGCAAGCAGTTCCTAAGCACAGACTTACGTGCCAGGCACTGTACTAGCTCAGAAGATTCAGGGCTAGAAGGTAACGGTCCTCCTGGTGCTCAGGTTGCAGGGATTTAGCTAGCCTTCAAGAAGGAGCAGATGCAAGTGAAAGGTACATGACACATTCACAACACAAAACTAGGTAATCACATGTTTCATTTCAAACACTCAAAGAGAGAATATGTCATATTCTAGAGAGAAGCCTTCCAGTGATTCTCAAACTGTGTTCTGGGGAGCTGTTAGGGGTTCCAAAAAGGTACTTCGGAAATCATACTGAAGGGCCAGCCCCACGGCAGAGCGATTAAGTTCATGTGCTCTGCTTCGGCAGCCCAGGCTTCACCAGTTCGGATCCTGGGCATGGACCTAGCACCACTCCTCAGGCCATGCTGTGGCGGTGTCCCACATGGAAGAAGTAGTATGACTTACAACTAGGATGTACAGCTATGTACTGGGGCTTTGGGGAAAGAAAACAAAAAAGAGGAAGATTGGTAACAGATGTTGGCTCGGGGCCAATCTTCCTCACCTAAAAAAAAAAGCCTTTAAAAAAAAAGAAACCTCCTCACTATTTAATCTGTTTCGTATACTTAACTTTCATATGAGATTTAATTTAAAGAGACAGAGAGGAAGGAAAAAAATTATGATCTGGTCTGATGCTCTCTCATTTTATATATTCGAAAATAAACATCCAGAAAAGTTCAGTAACTTACCAAGGTCACATAATGAATTAGAAACACACCTGAGCCTGGCCACCAACCCTCTCTGCCTGTCTCTAAACTCCATTGCCCTCTTTTCTTTCTTTTTATTTTTTCAATTGACACCGAGCCTGCAGGTAAGCTCCAAAAACTAAGATCCAAATGTCAGTGGGAAAAGCTAATCAGTGGGCTTCAGCAACATATTCACAGAGGAGTCTAGACCCTTTTCCCAGCTAGTTTGAGAATACACGTCACCACTTGGCTGGAGCAGAGAGCAGGGCCTTCCCCTTCCTTCTGCTGGGCATCAACTCCCCGCCTGGCAGGGACAAAGCCATAGCTGCAGCACTCGTTTCTGCTTTACATTTGTCAAGATTCGAGAAAGGGCTTATTTTGGGAAGCGTAAGTGAGAAAACCCCCAAACCAGTTCCATGTGCTGTGGATAGAGACAGGACAGACATCTCAACCTTACAGAAGCATGGATGTTTCAGAGGAAGTATCAGAGAGGTAATAAACACAAAGCCTTTTAGAAGCTGGGAAGTCACAACAATTTTGCCTCTACTATTGGTCAGTAAAAAAAGACATTATATATGTAAAATTCAAAAAGAACACACCACCAACAAAGAAATCTTTGTCTGTCTTCCAAGTGTTAAGTGCTATACAACACTCTCTCACCAAACGCATCAGAAATGCAAAGAAACTGTCCGATCGATTCTTTCCCCAACAACTGACAATTATTTTCACGTAGTCCCAGAGCCATACAAATCTCTCGGATACACACAATAAAAATCAGACTTTACCAGCCAGACATTTAAGGTTTTCCCTCTAGGCTCCAGTAACCTGAGGAAATCACTAAATTCGCTCTTTCTGCAGACTCCCCTCCCTCCCCTGGTTCATCTTCCTCTGATATACAAAAAGAAAGCCCATCAAAGTGGGTTGTGCAACTCTCCCGAGAGCACCAGGCACCCTACTCTCTCTAACTCCTTTCTCTTATTTGAACGTGCTCAAAATACTGCTGCCAGGTTGTCAATGAGCTGGTAGCCCAGAGCTCATTCCAAAAGCCACCCTGCAGCCACAGCCGTCTGTTGGCTTCCACCTGCAGGGCAGGCCCCACTGATGGTGGTGGTCACAGAAATGGGAAGGATGCACTGACCCTCTCCATCCCAGAGGGGTGGTGGTGGCAGCTCGTTTGTTGGAGGAAGGGGTGCATAACTGGCCCCATAAGCTACTGCCAGACTCCTCCTGGTAACTTCATGTCACGCATAAAATCACAGCAGAGCCCAGCAATGAAGCTCCCAGTCACAGCCATGTGGGCGGTAGCATGGACGCGGCCATCTCCCTCATTAAACCACCCCATTCACGAGAAATGGATTTGAAGCCTTTAAGATAGACCTCTATTGTTTGTAACATAGACTCTGAATTTTTCCCCTCTCCATAGGTCTTCACCAAACGTGTAGACAACAGTTTAACACAGCTACAATCTCCGAGCAAAACAATGCTGATTGAGCGGTACTACAGCGGAGCTACTCAAACGCCGCCGGAAGCTCCCGGCACTCCCAGAGAGCAGACAAATGAGTACTCGGGCTGGATTTGGTAGCCCTGAGGAATACTTGGAATACTGGCTTTAGGAGGGACGGTGGAGCAGGTAGGGGATGCTGCATATGCATGAGTTACATAGCATGTAAGTGCACATGCTCCGCACCCCAGACCTGGCTTCTGTGTTTTCTGGCAGCTGAAGCTGAACTCCTCATCTCCTCAGGAAGAACGAAGATCCCATTGCACGCCAACATGACTGGAAATCTCAATTTAAGAACTGGCTGCACTGGTCGGCCCATATAGGGTTTGTCCAGCTTTCTGTGTTCCTTTGCGCCTCTGATGTGTCAGCTTTTGCACACATATTTAACCCTCAAAATACCGTTTCAGAGAAGCGAATTTTCAGCCACGAAAACTTGTCTCCCAAACTGCATCGTCTTTTCCCGTTGTTTCTCTTCCCGAATCCCTGACCTCTCCACCAGCTTTGGTCAAGCCCAGCACCTCACACACACCTTTTCCATCACAGCCCAGAGCGCAGCGGCAAGCCCCTCCGCGCCCTGGCGGCCTGCAGCGCTCGGAAGCCGAGAGGAGGCGGGGAGGCGGGGAGGCGCGCCCGCAGCCTTGGACTTCACACCGCGCTCGCGTGTGCACCGAGCCGCGGGCACACGGCGAACACACCTCTCACTGGGACACACGCACACGTGCGCTCGCAGCCCCCACCCGCCCCGGGCCCACCGAAGTTACCTCCGAGGTTCCTCCGGCGGAGGGCCCACCGTCTCCTGCTTCTTTTCCCGCCGTGGTCCGCACTGCCTCCAATGCCGCGCCTCGCGAAGGCTGCAGAGCCCAGCCGACCCCAGTCCCGGGCAGCTCGGCTTCCGCGCCCTGGGCTGCACCCCGGGTCTGGGGCGGCTGCAGCTTCTGCCGCCCCGGGTCGGGGTCTGTCCTCACCTGCGGGGCGCCCAATGGGCTGCAGCAGGCGCGGGGGCTGGCGCTCGGCGGCTGAGGCGGGCGCTCGGGCTCCTCCCCGGCAGCGGGCAGCCAGTACAGACTCGCATGGCGCTTGGGCTCGCAGCGGCCCCAGGACGCGGCCTCAGCCCCCGGGCGGCCCCAGCCTCGGTCTTTGTGTCTCGGCCGGCGCCTCCACGTCACGGGCTTGGGGGCAGTGAGCAGCGCGGGCAGGGAAGCCGGCGGCAGAGAGCCGGGCTCGGCTTCTCCATCATCGCCCGGCCGCAGCGCGCAGGTAGGCAGAGCGCACGGGCAGTGACCGCGCGCACCCTGGGGGACAGAGTGGGCGGGCCCGGCGAGGCGCGCGGCGGACGCGCCAAGGGGGTGTCCGGCTGGAGGCTGCAGCGGAGAAGAGCAGGAGTGGGAGCGCCGCCAGAGCTATGAGAAGGCGACGTCGGCTCGGTTCTGGGTTGCGGCTGCCCCGCTCGGGGAGAGCGAGCGGAGGCTGCGCGCTGGAAGGAGACTGGCGGCCAGAGGCGCCAGCGGGGCTCGCGTCTTCCCACTCCCCTATGCTGAAGGTGACTGCGGCCCCCAGTGGCCGAGCAGAAGCGAACGGTTCTCGCCTCTCCTCTTCCCCGGGTGCACTCTGCTCACCCTTCCCGGGCCTCCCACTCCGCAGTCCTTTGCAAGGCCAGGGCAAAGTGGTCACTTCGCTCACTGATTTTCCCTCTTGGCTAGTCTTGGCTTAAGTGGTACCCAGGTTGGAGACTGAAGGTCACATGACCACCCCATCCCCCAAAACGCACAAATACACACACACACACGCACGCATATTTACACACACCTCGAGCCCAACGCAACTGAGGTAGGTTTCCAAAAGTAAAATTGGATACGTGGATCAGAACTGGAGGCCTTTCGTAAGTCAGCCTGTGCGCTGCAGTGGGGCTGCCTCTGGTGTAACCATCTATGCAGACCCTGTCCCCGCGGCTGCGAGGAAGCTCATATTAACAGCATTTTGGGTCCCCTCGTCAAGAAGAGCGCAAAAAGAGTCATTTTTCAGACCCTTGGGATCCCACTTCAAAAGGAAAGCAAAGCCCCCCACCGAGTCGCGAAACAGAATTGCCAAGGAGCGTACCTCTGTGAGGACAGAACTCTCTCCCTGGGCCGTGGTCGCTGGCTTTTCCCGGAGCACAGCCAAGATGCCGGCTCTGGCGTTTGCTACCTGTGGTCTCAGCGCCGGCCCCTGGGAACGCAGGTCCTGGTCTCAGCCTGCCGCCGTGCGCTGCCTGGATGTGGCTGGCAACAACTCTCTAAAAGTGAACCCGCTCATAAATGGATACTTTAAACACTGCCTGATCAGGGTGATAAGTGTTGACAACTTGGTTTTCCCAGAGCTCCTCTCTGCCCGAGTTTCTAAATTCATTTACCTTTAGTACCTTATCGTGAGGCGAGTTCAAACCTCTTCTATGGAGAGGGCAAAAGGATTCGACAGGGTAAGGTGGGAGTCAGGTTTGTTCGTTTCATTCTACCTTCCCCAGGGATTTGAGATTCCTAAACAGTACTGCCTCTATCTTTTGTCCTAATATTGTGTGTGACAAAGAGAGGTGTAAGCCCAAAGAATAAAGGGTGTCGGTCGAGGAGTCTGGCCACAGCCAGAGCTCCAGAGACTCTCGGAGTCTGCCCTTTGAGGTCAGAGGATTTCTCCCCAAAATGAGAGGGGTCGACCTGTGTGAACCACTTACCAAGGAAACTGTGCACTATCTGCCTTTTCACTTGCTCTAAGTTTCCTTTCCTGTTCTTTCTCTTATTTCTTCATGAAATACCACCACAGAGACCAGGTTCTAGGAGGGAAAAACAGAGCTTCCTAAAGCTAAGAATGGGCAAAAATTGACTTTTTCTCCTTTAGTTCAGTTGAGGCAGGCTAGAGGTTTATTTAATTTCTTTTTTGAAAAACTACTTTGGAAACCAACATTTAAAATTTAAAACAGCATAAAATGAACATGCAGAGTGTAGATCTCTGACCCTAAAATCTGACTCTATTCTAGTCAGAATTTGGCTAGTGGTGTTTATAGTTCCAGGGGATTCAGTTGGATGCCCTTTCTCATCCTGGAAGCCCCCCATTCAAGCCTTGGGAAGTATTCCTCTGGCTTTCTGTTTGGCTCCTTACCCCTCCCCAGGAAGGCACAGCTATGATAACACCTCAGCCAGCTCTCCCTCACCGGGCTGTCTGGGAAGAGGCTGGAATTCTGTGACTCCCTTTATGTTTCTGCACACAAAATGGACTTGTGTACCCACCCCATCTTGCCCACCTGAGCCAGAGTGAAGATCATTTCTCTGCATCATTCACTGTGCTAGAAGGATACCAAATATATTCACCATTTATCTATGAACCCAAAGCATAAAGGTTGGAAAAAAATAATGCAAGTTCATGGAATTGTACTCCTAGGATAAGTAAAGATTTAAAATTTTTTTTTTTAGTCTGGGAAACAGAAGGAGACAGAGGACCAGATGGGGACTGGGCACCAGACCACAAAGACAGGAGTGAACTCAGCACCCAGAAACCATCCAGCCTCCACTTTTCGTATGGTGTCCCCCACAGATCGACACATTTCACTTCATAGTATCATTGGTAAAGATGTGGAAATAAGGTAGAAGGGAAACAGCCCTGAATTTGGAATCTGAAGATCTGATTGCAGACATCTGTTAAATGATATAAACTGCCCACGTGAACATGGACAGATTACTTGACCTGTTTTTATTTCTTTAACACTTGAACTGTTGGATTCTACTTAAATTTAACATTTGGGTGGAGAAATATGGTTGATTTCCAACATACAGAATCTGAGCTTGATTATGAAGCCCTAATAAATCTATGAGGATTCATGTGATCCAGTCTCAATAAAGTGTCCAGTTAAATATAGTCCAGCAGCCAGAAGAAATTTATCGTTAGTCATATCCTTTATTTGAGTTTCTCAGGGACTAACATCTTCCTCTCTCTGTCTTCTATAGTTCCTTCTTACCTCAGCTATTTCAGAGCCTCTTTCTCTCCAATATCCCCCAAATGCACTCTAAATACATGGCACACATCTTTCTGTTTTTCTCCCTCCCTTCCCCCTCTCTACTCTTCTTTATTATGTAGATTTACATACTTACTCTCCTCTCTCTAGAGGGGGGAAGGGGAAAATTGTGGTCAAAATCAGAATTCTTTTTAGTGATAGAGCTGGGGGTCGGCTGTGAGTGTTCACACATTAATACTTTTGGTCCATCTTAATTAGATCTCCTTTGGGCGCATTTTAGATAAATTGAAGTGTTAGAAACAGGTACAGGATATAGTATCATTAGACAAAGATTTTTTTCTCCAGCTCCTACTGACTATATATGTAGGTAGACTTGAGACAACTTCTTAACCTCTTCTGAGCTCCAGTTTCATCATCTCTAGAAGTAGAATAGGAACCTTCATAGGGTTGTTTGGAAGACTGAATAAATGCAAAAAGTGAGTCTCATAATAGTCACTCAGCAAATATTGTTGGCACTTAAGATGGCAGGAGAAGAAAAGAAAGAGAGAGAGGGGAGATAGGCGGGGAGGAGGGAGGGAGAGAGAGGGAGGACTTACATCTTGGGCATCCAGATAGAAGTTTGATTGTACCAATGAACAAGGAATTGAGGCACAGGAAAACTGTTCCCTCCTCTAGGCTGAAAGGCTGAGCTGTGATCTCCTTTAGATCCGGAGAGGAGATGCTGCTTTCCTGGCTTGACAAATGGCAAGCAGCATAGTAAAAAAAATCGTTCCACTGGTATGGGTGCCCCATGACTGCTGCTCAGCAGCTCACTCTCTGATTCTCCCCTGAGCAGTCCAAGAATTCTGCCTCTTTCTAGTTCCTCTGTATTTCACCCCTGTCACCTGCCAGTATAGCACTCAACAGGCCTCAGCCTGAGCCTGGGGCTTTCTGGATCCCATCCTGTTAAACCTCACTTGTCTTATATCATATCTAGGGATTTGAAAGGGTATATATTAAGCAGAAATGACTCTCAGAGATCATTTCAGACACTGGTTTTTAAACTGTGGGAGAACAGTAGTCGCTACCCTCTACTTTACCTCCCAAAGATAGCCTTTTGAATATCATATCTGTTCCCAGAGAAATTTCACCAGTGGCAGGAATTTCAGGTACAGTAACAGGCTTATGAGACACAAATGTGGGATGAGGTGATGTATAGAGCTGCTCCCAAACCCTAATTACTTGGCTGTGAGTTACTTGGATAGAGATTGGTGTCAGCAGATTGCCAATCAGGAAAATGAGGCCCAGAAGAAGCTGTCAATTTCTAAGCCATGCTGTGAATTAGGAACAGATCTGAAACTAGAACTGAGGTCTTGTGAATCCTAGCCCAATGTTCACAATGGGCAACTGCCCAAATTTCCTGAAAGGCTGCCAAGGAGTGGCACTCAGAGCACCCCCATGCTGCTTGGGAGCTTCCCTGAGTCAGACCAGAGACTAGGGGCCTCTGCAGACCAAGATGAGTCTAGGAGCACCCATGACCACCTCCAGAAGGCTGGGCCCCGGGCTGGACATACCCTGAGTCGAGTATGAACCTCTGGGTTCCACTCTTCTGCTTTGTAAGTGGCCTTTTCCAAGCAGAGGCTGCTGGGGTGGTATGTTTGGCAGGCACAGAGGATATTTGTTATTTTTTTGGCTGCCTAGATTCTGAATTCTCTTCTTATTTTGGAGCAAGTTGCCACTGTGAAACTTCAATATTCCCCTTCTCCCAAACCCTGGCAGATAGGGTGTGGTCATATGGCCCAAGTTTGGCCAACCTGATGTTCTTCCCTGATGCCATGAATCCAAAGCCATTGATGGTGCAAAAGAATCTGGTGACAGTTCAGAAATTGTTCCGCCACTAGTAGCAGTGGCAACTGGGATGCAATGGCCTGGGTCTCATAGTGGGAACAGCAGAGCCCTAAAAAGACCCTTCCTGTGGCAAGACCTTGGCTGTGATTCCAGCCCCACTGCACTCCCAATTTCCTGCAGTGTGTTTTCCAAACCTAATTCTCTGGCCTTCCCACTGATTAAGTCAGATCCTGAAGTCCTTCCAATAAATTCCTTTCCTGCCCACATAGACCAGAGTCAAGGTCTGATGTTGGCAATCCAGGGTCCTGACTGGCAATGAGCCTTTGTCCTTCCACTCTTGGAAATTCTCATGCCCTGGAAATCCCAGACAGGAAACCAGATTGAGATCTAGCTCAGAGTGTCAGCCACACTGGAGCTGAACTCACCAGGCAACAAGCACTTCCTGTTGCAG